GTCAAAACAACGTTTTATTAACGTTGGCAAAGTAACACTTTTTCAACGTTTTTTAATTACCACATTTTCAACCAACGTTGAAATAACGTTGAATAAGTGTTGTTTTTTCAAATTCGTTGAAAAAGCAGTTAATGTCTAACGTTGATAAACCATTACCTTTGCGACGTTTTTACAGTGGTTATTTGCGTACTTATTTTCAACGTTTAATAAACGCATTTTTTTGAGAAGATAAGATACGTTTAAATTTATACGCTTTTTCAACGTTGAAAATGTAACGTTTAAAAAGCGGTTTGTTTTTAACGTTGATAAAGAATATATTTGGAAACGTTTTTAAAGTGGCTTTTTGCGTAAGTTGATTCCACGTTGAATAAACGTTTTATTTTGAGAGGCTAAATTACGTTACAATTTCAACGCTTATTCAACGTTTCAATTTACCGCAATTTAGTATACAAAAACAGACATTGATTCAACGTTGAAAGCACGTTGTTTTTGTGACTGTAACGCTTTTTCTACGCTGCGACTGGTTTTCAACGTTGATTCAACGCTTACATATTTGCTGGGTCTATCAAATTCATCAAAAGACAATTCAAAAGAATTTAGACAAGATACTAAAGGAAAACTAAATCTGTTTATTATTTAATTTTTCTTTGTTAAATTTGGTCCAACTGAAGTAAAGAATTCATTCATTTTATTTGCTACCACTCTCGGATCATTAAATATTTTATTATCAATTTTAATAGCTCTAGGTAGAGAGCTAGCTATTAATTTCTTAATGCATGTAATTTCCCTTATAATTTGCCATGTTTGCTTTGAATTCTCTTTATACTTTTCTAGTAAATTTATATAGTATCTTTTTTTGAAATTTTTTCTTTGGATTTCAAATATTTTAGCGTAATTCTTATGAATTGTCTTACTTTCTAATGTTCTCGTTTTTAAATACTTTATATACATATTTTGCTTAACTTTAGAACTTTTTCTGAGATCTTTTGTAATCCATGGTGAAGTGAAATCTTTATTTTTTTTTAGTATTTTATGTTGAGGAAAATTAATATCATAAATTTTAAAAAATGTTTTAAAAAACGAATTATAGACTAAATTAGCATCATTAGAATCTATGTGTTTCCAATGAAGTAAAGATAATTGTTCCTTAAAAGCAATGCAATTCGCTTCCGTAAAAAACGTTTAATGAAAGTTTATTTTGGTGTAGAATTTTTTTGATGTCTGTGTTTATGGAAAAAAAAGTAGGAAAGGGGATCGCCTAAAACGCCGAATTCTAAAACGCCGAAAAGCCGAAATGCCGAAAAAATGGCGTAATAATACAATTCGGTAACCGTCAAAAAAGACAACGAAAAGTTAAATATTCCCCGGATTTTTTATTGCGCATTTGTAAATGCAAAGTTTAAAAGGACAAAAGCCAAAGCCAAATTTGGCTTTTGGTTCTGTCTTTTTAAACAAAATTTACTGCTGCATTTTATTTTTTAATTTTACATGTTTTGAATTTTTTTAAATTTAAAACAATAATTTAAACATTAATAACGCGGGGGTTGACTACCGGTAATTCATTGCTCTCATTCCGTTTTTTATTCCGTACTCTAAGATGGTTTTTCGGCATTTCGGCTTTTCGGCGTTTTAGAATTCGGCGTTTTAGAAACTCCCGTAGAAAAGCGATCAGAGACGTCACTTTTAATAATACCTTTTTTTAAAGATAAGTTAAAAACGTCCGTTGTAATTATATTATCTAATATAGATGATAATGTTGATGATATTCTGGTAGGCTTATTTATTAACGGTATCGCTCCAATTTCAAAAATGCCATATTTTTAGTATGGTATTCAAAGCAATTTAAATTAAAATCACCAATTATGTAGTTAAATTTCCTTTCGTACATACTTTTTTTAATTATATCATTATGTAAAAATGCATTAAAATTCTTAATTACGCCATTTGGTGGGCGATAACAGCAACTTAAAATTATATTTTTGGTATTTTTAGTTGAAATTTCAATACTTAAAACCTCTTTATCGTCATCAGAAATACTTAGGTCTGGCCTGTTAATAAACCGCAAGCATTTATTCACATAAAAATAACACCACCACCTTGCTTTTTATTTTTACGCGCTAAAGAAATTAAGTTAAAACTTGGAAGATGGAGATTTGAATTTTTAACATCGTCAGAGCAGCACCATGTCTCTGTAATGCATATTATGTTAAAAATATTAGAAGTTTCTCCTATATTACTATGAATAGTATCAAATTTTTTTTTTTAAGCTTCTTATAGGGTCATTCCGTGCCAAGTAATGTAAATTTTAATGAGGTCCCTCATGGACCATCTCAAATTTTATTGATATTTTTTTATTTTGTACATATATATGTTAAAAGCATGTTTTGAAAATTTTAGATCAATATCTAATATGGTTCTTGAAAAAACACTATTTAAGTAGTGGGCTATTTTGCATAAAATTTCACTCTACAAGAAAAAAGGTTTTTTTCATCATTTTTAACAGCCAATAACTTTTGAACAATTTAGTTTTATACTTCAGTTATTATAAGATAGCTAGTATGCTGTAAGTACTTTGGAAAAAGAAAAAAATTTTAATTCTGGCATCTTAACTTTTTCCATAATGGCGGGCTAAAGTTGAGATTTTTGTTTTTAAAATATTTTTTTTTGTGATTTTAATGATCTTAATCTTGAAAACTAATAGATGAATTTCAAAGTGACGTCGCGCGTTTACATTTTTTCGGACGCGAAGGACACTGGCAGGATAGAAAGAAAACACGCAAAAGAAAATATGGAGTGAATCTGATTACTTTTTAACATTAGAAGAAAACAATAAAGATGCATATAAAAAAAAATTAACTTTGTCAAATGGAATGTTACTCCCTGACCCTTTCGTACTTGAAAATTGGAAAAATGACGTTTCAATGATACCCGACATTACATGGGGTGACCTGTACAATTACCTTATTAACTCCGCAAGTAATTTTACACACGATTCAATGAAAGCCTATAAATCATTGGAATCGTACAACTTTTACATTTGTGGGCATGTTCAAGATGTATACTATAATTTAATTGAAGAAACGAATGAATTTTGTTTCATTAAATCTGAGGTAATTTTGCATATTACAAAGTAAAGTTCACCGTCAAAGTGGCAAAAAAAAAGTGTTTGAAAAGTTACAACCATAAAATTTATTTTGAGTAAAATGTAAAATGATATACGTTTTTACTTATTTATTCAACTTTTAATTTATTAAAGGTGCTTCCAAGTCAAAGACAAGGAAAGAAGCAGAAATGTTACGAAGTGTGGGTTGCAATAAATAAAGTGGATTAATGGGTGGATTTTAACGACAAATTGCAAATGCATGGCAGGGTAAGTACATTAATTAAATAATTTAATTCTAATTTTATTTTAAACAAGTATTTTAAGAAATTTAATTGGTTATACATTTTTGAAACTATAGATTGGGCTCTGTGTGTAGTCACATCGGTGCTTTGTTGTTTAAACTTGTTGCGTGTGCACAGCTCGGTTTAAATAAAATATCTTGCACAAGCACATTGTGCAGTTGGAAAAAATCACGCAAATCAGCAACCCCAGCCCCACTAAAAAAAATAAACTTTTCCCGACCAAAGAAGCGTGAAACTCTTCCAAATATTAGTGACAATGAAAACTCACAGGATAAAAGACCTTACAGCTTTAAGGATCCTACACCAACTTCAGATAGTAAAAAAAACGTTGATAGAACTAAAAAAATTGTATAAGAATGCTGCTGTTCTTCAGTCTGTAGACATTAATAATGAAAGCAAAGAACATTGTAGTGATATAGATACTGCGGAGGAGGATGACAGTTACAATGAATATAATTTGCCGGAACCACTAACTTCACTATATTTGCCTGCATCAATTAATTTAGATGGTTCCACCTTAACAAAATATTGCGCAGAATCATACGAGGAGTACAAAATCACTCAAAGTGTTAACATGTACAGCAATTTACTTAAAGTTACAAAAATTCAAAGCGCTAATAGAATCTGGAAGTTGCACAGGGCAGGTAAAATAACAGCATCGTTATCAAAAACTGCATACAACATAAAAGTTGATAAATACTCTAAGTCGTTTATAAACACAGTGATGCAATACAACGCAGAATTCATTATAAAACCTACGAGCTATAGTAAGAAAATGGAGACTGTAGCAATAAATTCTTACAAGCAATTTGTCGCGAAAACACATACAAATAAAGTTGTTACAGAAACTGGATTGCATGTTCTTCACAAAAATCTATGTCTTGGTGCTTCACCTGATAGTATGGTGTGTTGTGATTGTCATGGTTAGGATCAAAAATGATCCTAACAACCTTTTGAGCGATCAAACATACTGCATTTGCAAACGCCCAAGTTTTACACCAATGATTGAATGCGACGGAAAAAACTGCAAAATAGGATGATTTCATTACAGTTGTTTTGAAATAAAAAATGCCTCTAAAGGTAAATGGTTCTGCAAGGAATGCATATAAATAAACTAAAGGATACATTATATTTATTAAATATCTTACTTTGTCAACGACATTTTGGCACTTTTTTCAAAAATAAAAAATCAATAAACTGTTAACAATTCTTATTATTTAGTAATATAAAATTTACTACTCTCGAGTCTTTATTAGAAGGGTAGGGAGGATTTCTATTAAATTTTTGAAAACTTTCCCACCTACCTTAAGCTTATTAAGACCACTCTGTTTATTAATTTTCACTTGTTATCAACAAAAAGTTTCTAACTATCGAAACTAAAAAAAATAATTCAGTGAAAATCGGCCTTATAATTTACAAAATATATACTAGTAACTAATAAATAATAAAACTTTTAGTATAAATTCTCACCCCCTAGTTTTATTAGATCTTGAATAACCACCCCCTTCCCCTTGTATTAAGGACTCGAGAGTACTTGAGACAATCCAAATGTAAGATAATACAAAATAAAGTTAAAATAAAAAGGTTTTTCACTCCTATGAGCTTGGAGGAACAACACTACTGTTAATATTTACTAATGAAGTTATTATTACCATAACATCATCAAGTAAATCAACTTGAGTTAATGGGATAATGTTCTGAAGAATTCGAAATTTTCTTAACCGTCCAATTACCCTTTCAACATGGATTCTTACATGTGCAATTTGACGTGATTCATTAACTTCAGCAGAAGACATCTGCTTTTTTCCTTTGGTAAACTTTGGTGATTTTAAAATCCCACCTTTTGTAGCAAATTCTTCAACAAGTGTAAATCCTCTATCAGCAAGTACACAATCTCCATTGGTTATTTTTTTTTAAAAATCCAGATTTAATTGTAGTTTCTTTATCTGAAACTCTACCACCCCATCCAGGGGATAAAAAACTTACAGCACCTGATGGAGTTATACCAATGAGATATTTAATTGTGTTGTTAGTTTTATAATTTGACCAAGTTTGAGCTCGAGCATGAAGACTAAAAGGTCTTTCAATGAGTAATTCCGTGCAATCAATTATTGCAACACAATTATAGAACTTTTTGCGAAAACTTGTTGGCAAATTTCTTCGCAAAACATGCTTTTCTGGCCAAACAATTAAAAACTTAACATTTTCAGCAATAATTGGAAGCCAAGATCTATATATTCTAGTGACTGTTGGCTCAGAAAAACCAAATCTAAAGCTCAAGTCTTTACTTAAAAATCCAAGTTTGATTTTCATTAATATTAGCAATAAATGGTCTTCCATTGGTATATTTTTCATTGGTTTTACACAATCATTAAACAATGATAAATACCACAAAAATAAATTTGCATTTGGCAAACCAGTATAAAAAGATAAAAGTGAATTATCATCTTTTAGTTTTTCAAACGAAATATATTGAGAAACAGATGATCTTATAGCTTTGTTTATTGTAATCTTTAATTCAACATTATTTTTACTCAAAGTTTTGACTTTAGAATGTAGCTCAGCAACAAAATTAACATCATCAGTCTGAGATTCTAAAAACATAATTATGTAACCATTTATTTTATAAAAGAACGAAAGTAAAATCTTAAAATTAAATTAAAACTTATTTACCTTGATTTAATTTGAAAGGGTCGACTGATGTTACTGCTGTTAAGTTTTTATGTCACCATCTTTAAGTTGTAGTTATATCGGCACCGTATTTTTATGTGCCGTATATTCTTTATGTTTTTAGTTTCAGCCACGAGGCTATGTTTTTATGTATATTTTAAGAATATTTATAAACACTAATATCAACTTTTATTTCCTCCATCATGAGTGAACACAAAATATTAACAGGTTATGGTCCCAGCAACCAGTGACAAAATCTTATTTTCGATGGAGATAGTAGGAAATTCGAAATATGGGAAACGAAATTACTTGGATATATGAAGTTAAAAAATTTAAAAGATACTTTAATTGGAAATGGCGAAATTGACGAAGACGAAAATGAAATAGCGTTTGCTGAACTTATACAATTTCTGGATGAAAGATCCATAGCTTTAATTATAAGAGACCCTAAAGGTAAAGGTAGTGAAGCCTTTAAAATTCTAAAAGATCATTATAATGATTATAAAAAAAAAAAAAATACGAGGTTTAATTGTACTAGCGTAATTACGCTAGTACAAGTAAACCTCGTATTTTTTTTTTTTTTTTTTAAAGTTGATTAAGGTGCCCCAAGAAGTCCTTACGGTCTTATCACAGAGCACCGCGGAAGAGCATTTAACAGGAAGTTCACGCCTCCTTCCTAACAGATGTCGCAAAACTTGCCCAGAGGTGGGGTTTGAACCACGGATCTTATGTTTCTAAGGCAAGTGCGCTATTATTACTTTATATAACCAATTAACAAGTTTAAAAAAATTTACCAACGAGTATTATGTTATTAGAGCAGAGAAATCAGCCACTTCATTAAATACAGCTGGCGAAAGTATTAGCAATTACTTATTGCTATGGTACTTAAAGGATTACCTGACGATTATAGAGCTTTTGTAGCTATAATTACCCAATCTGAAACAAGTAATAATTTCCAAAAATTTAAACAGGCTTTACGAAGTTTTGAGGAAACAGAATACACAAGAACAACTCATATTGAACATTCAGATACCAAAATAATGAAATTCAAAACTAGTGGGGGTAATATAAAGAAAGTTTTGACTTGTTACACTTGTGGAACTATTGGTCACAAATCTTCTGAATGTCAAGCAAAAACTAAACCAAAGATATGGTGTAATTACTGTAGATCAAATACCCACAAAGACAGTTCTTGCAGAAAACGAATAAAAGATAAAGCTAAATATGTTAATAATATGTTAATAAATGTTAATAATATACAAAAACACACGTATGCATTTAAAATAAACGAAGAACAATATATAAGAACAATAAGGGAAACGCAAAATAAAACATTTCTGGTAGACTGTGAGGCAACTACCCATATTGTAAATACTGATGAATACTTCACTTATATTGATGAATATTTTAAACCAGAAGAACACTTTATAGAGTTTGCTGATGGCACCAGGGCAAACAATATAGCTAAAAAGAGAGGAACAGTTAAAACCCTTTTACGTACAAAAAACGACGAACTAGTAACTGTCACTCTTGAAAACACTTTATATATCCCAACCTACCCACAATGCATTTTTTCTGTTCAAGCAGCTATGGCTAAAGGCGCCAGAATCCACTTCCATAAATATAGTGCTGAACTTATATCTAAAGAGGGAACTGTGTTTCCTATCCGACAATATGGTCGTTTGTATTATTTTTACAAAAACTCAATAAATGAAACACGAACTGAAAGTTTGGAAATGTGGCACAAAATAATCGGACATTGTAATACCAATGATATTATAAAATTAGAAGATGTAGCTCAAGGAATGAAAATCAACAATATTGCTAAATTTGATTGTGAAACATGTATTCTATCTAAAAATGTTAACACTTGTAACCAACAACCTTACACAAGGGTAACTTACCCATTCCAACTTGTACATACTGATTTAGCCGGACCAATAGAACCTGTAGCTATAGGTGGATTTAAGTATGTTATAAACTTTGTTGATGATTACTCAAGTTGTTTGTTTACATATTTCCTGCAACAAAAAAGTGATGCTGCAAAAGCTGCTGAAAAATTTCTAGCAGATATTGCTCCATATGGGAAGGTTAAAACATATAGTTTTTATAATGATATTTCCCCATCTGGTAATGTAAAATGTATTCGCAGTGATAACGGAGGTGAATATTTATCAAAAGAATTTAATGAATTACTTCTAAAACATACCATTAAACATGAATTTACATCACCTTATTCCCCACACCAAAATGGAACCGCAGAAAGGAATTGGCGTTCATTATTTGACATGGCAAGAGCTATGATTATTGAATCAAAACTTCCAAAGCATTTATGGACTTATGCAGTTAGCACTGCAACATATATAAGAAATCGATGCTATGTACAACGAATTAAAAGTACACCATATGGATTAGTAACTGGTTTAAAGCCAAACATATCGAGATTACACTTATTTGGATCAGTATGTTACCCATATGTACATAATACCAAAAAATTACAACCACGAAGCATTAAAGGTTATTTTGATGGATATGACAAAGACAGTCCATCATACCTAGTTTATTATCCAGAATCAAATTCAGTTTGAAAACACAGACTTGTAAAATTTACAGAAAAATATGAATCTGTTAGCCAAATAGATACCTATAATACAGATGATTTTATAAATGTTGAACCAAAAAACTACAAAGTCTACAACTGAGCCATCCACTCCCAATAATAAACAAAATATACCTCAAGAAATTCCCTTATCACGTTACCCTCAAAGACAAAGACAACCCCCAAAAAATTTGGAAGATTACATAGTTGATAATAATAATGATGATGAAATTAACTATATAGATTATTGTTATTTGATGAATATACCTACGTCATACACTAATGCTATCAACATAGATGAGTCAGATAAATGGAAAAATGCCATGGATGAAGAAATCCAATCATTAACGAATGATGACACCTTTATTATTACTGAACTCCCAGCAAATAAAAAAGTAGTTGGGGGAGGATGGATCTACACAATTAAAGGGAACAATAATAAAATTATATACAAAGCCAGATATGTTGCAAAGGGGTACAACCAAATTCAAGCAATTGATTATTTAGAAACTTTTTCACCCACAGCTAGAATGGAATCAGTCCGAATTTTAATGCAAATATCTGCCCAATATAACCTTATTTTACATCAAATGGATGTTAAAAGTGCTTATCTACATGCACTTATAGAACATGAAATTTATTTTAATCAACCTCCTGGGTATGAAAAAACCCACAATAACAAACAATTAGTATGGAAATTAAATAAATCACTTGGTAAAATCAAGTGGTAGAAATTGGCAGAATGTTTTAAGTGACTTTCTCAAGGAAATACAATTTATTCAATCAAATGCTGATAATTGCGTTTTTGTTAGAAGAAGCAATACTGAAGTAGCAATGATTCTAGTATGGGTTGATGACATAATTATAGCTGCCAACTCAAACGAACTATTAATTAAAATTAAGAAGAAATTAAGTAAACGATTTAAAATGAAAGATTTGGGACCATTAACTTCATTTCTTGGTATTCAATTCAAATCAACTAGTAATTGCGTCACTATGAATCAATCAGAATACTTTCAGAATGTTCTACAAAAATTCGGTTTTGGCAATTGCAAACCAACAAAATCTACCCCATGTGAGCAAGTTCCTTATTCATACCATAATCAAGAATCTATAAAATCGAATGATTCAGAGATAAAATTATACCGACAAATGGTTGGAAGTCTTCTTTACGCAATGACATGTGCAAGACCAGATTTAAGCTATGTTATTACCAAATTATCTCAGCATCTATCAAAACCAAATAGTGGTGATTGGATTATGATTAAACATGTATTTAGGTATATTAAACATACTCTAAACTATTGTTTAACTTTTCGAAAGACTGATGAGTTAAAGCTTTATGCTTTCTGTGATGCAGATTGGGCTTCATCTTTAGAAGATCGACATAGTATATCAGGTTACTGTTTTTCTCTGTGTACAGATGGACCAGTCATTAGTTGAAAATCAAAGAAACAATCGAGTGTTGCACTGTCCACCTGTGAAGCAGAATATAGGTCGATATCTGCAGCTTGCCAAGAAATTAGTTATTTAGCAAAAGTATTACGAGAATTATTAGAAGTAAAAATCGAACCAGTAACCCTTAGAAACGATAACCAAGGAGCCATTGCATTAGCAAAAAATCCTATAAAACACATGAAATCTAAACATATAGACATACGTTATCATTTTATACGAGAATTTCATCAACAAGGTCGTATACTATTAGAGTATATACAATCAAATGAAAATTATGCTGATATTTTTACTAAACCAGCAAAGAAAGATTCATTACAAAAGTTTAAAGATTTTTTATTTGGACTTTAAAATAATATGTTGTCAAGTTGGGGTGTTAAGTTTTTATGACACCATCTTTAAGTTGTAGTTATATCGGCACCGTATTTTTATGTGCCGTATATTCTTTATGTTTTTAGTTTCAGCCACGAGGCTATGTTTTTATGTATATTTTAAGAATATTTATAAACACTAATATCGACTTTTATTTCCTCCATCATGAGTGAACACAAAATATTAACAACTGCATCCATATTAACTGACATCTGTTCATTTTCAGCTTTTGTTTGAGATAAATTATCTTCAGTATTTTTTTTTGTTCTTTTACAACTTCTTTAAATCTTTCAATATTTTGATGTTTTTTTGAAAAAGATTGCTGTCTGTATAAAAAAACAGATGGAACATAGTCAGGACTATTAGGATTGTCTGATTTTTTGCCTAAAAATAGAGTAGAAAAAAAATTAAAACCTTATTTATTTTATTAAAACAATGAACTTATGTTAAATTAAATAAAAACAAAGATAATAATAATATTATAAAAACTTCTAGTTATCAAAAGAAAAAAAAAATTAAATACCTGAAATAAAATGTTTACTACATAATCTTGCGTTATCAATCATACTTATTGGCCAGTTTTTACGTTTAAAGGCTTGCAACCATACTCTTCTGTTTTTTGATGTTTCTGCATTTCCAAAAGGAAGGCGGTAAAAACTCAAGTTTTTATCGCCTTTTATCCTTTTATTCATACACCCTATAGCACAACAACTGTCAGGCATTATATTTTAAGAATTTAAAAAAAACTTTAATCTCATTAAGTTAGCAAGCAGATTAATTATATCAATGTTTGTTTAATAAACGTTCTCAATGTTTGCAAATCGGTTTTTAAATTCCTGCCACCTAGTGCGCATGCGACGGAAATGTAAACATTGAAATTCGTTTTAAAAATATTTTTTAAAAAAATATTTAAATATATTTATATATATATATATATAATATATATATAAAATGTTTTTTAAAAAAATATTAAAAAATATTTTTATAAATATTTTTTAGATTAAAAAAAAAAAAAAAAATATTTTTTTAAATATTTTTTAAATAAAAGATTTTTGTTCTTAAAATATTTTTTTTGTGATTTTAATGATCTTAATCTTGAAAACTAATTAAAAGATTAATACAAATCAAATTGCCTGCTGATCTACATGTGGTGGATAAACATTTAAAAAAAAAATCAGTTGATTAAAGAGCTGCATTTTATAGTTAAAAAAAAGTTATAGGTCTCCAAAATGAGTCGATCAAGATTTTTGTAAAATTGATCTGTGATGCAAAGCATCTGTTACCTAAGATGGCACTTTTTTTTTTTCATAAAATTTTTTATACGCATCAATTAAAGAGTGTTAATTTATAAAAACCAAAAAAATTAATGGGCGCTTATTTATAACCCCCAAAAGGTAGTCTCTAAAAGTCAGGTAAATTTTCCATAAAAATTATTACTTTTTAAAAGTTAAGTTATTATTATATAAAAGTTAAGTTATTATATATATGTCAATCTAAAAAGTACTAATAAAACCAAATAAATTGTTGTATTTTAGAACTAATTAATAATAAGTAATATTTTAGTTTTCTACTTGCTGTTTATTTGTTTATTTCTTTGAGAAGCAAAATAAATCCCATAGATTTTATTTGTAGCTATCACGAGAAAGTTTGCTTGTCGAGGTATGAGAATGAAAATCGCAGATATTGTTGTAATCCGTTGAACAAGCACGCAAAAAAAGTGAAAAGTAAGTTTCAATATTTAATATCTTAATTTAATAAAAAGACCTTAATAACACTAAATAAATAAAAAAAAACAATATTTAATAATTATTTCCGTTATTTTTTAGATTCTCTTAGAGTTATCAGTCTTTCATATGCCAAAGATTTGGGTTTAATACCTGGTCAAAAAATTTGCACTTGTTACAGAAAAGTTCTGAATTGCAAACATAATACAAAAGAAAATGAAGTCCAAGAAAAAGAAATTTTTGTTGACAACCATACATTAAAAGAAGATCTTAATTCAAGTATTGCAAGTTTTGGATGCTCACCTCTCAAACTTGTTTCAAAAAAAGATAGAGTTGCATATAGAAAGCATAAAATTGATAGCGTAAGAGCTCATACACAAAAGGCTGTTGCCAATGTGTTAGGTTTAGAAATAGCTGCACTTGGTGGAAATGAATCACCCTCAAAAAAATGTTTGAAAAAAACAAACACAGATTTAGACAATATTATGACTCAAATTAAGTCAAAATTTGAAAAAACATTGTCAAATTCTGAAAAAATCACACTTCTTACACTCACTCCAGACAGTTGGTGAATAGAGAAAACTCAGAAGTTTTTTTTGACTCCAAAAAGATCTGTAGTACAAGCCAGAAAATTAAGGAAAAAAAGTGGAATACTATCAAAACCTTCTCCAAAATTGGGTAGATAACTAAGCGAAGATGTAATTACAGAGGTTGTTCATTTCTATGAATGCGATGAATATTCAAGGGTTTGTCCAGGAAAAAAAAGAGTTTGTTTCATTTAAATTAAATAGTATAAAGCAACATATCCAAAAGCGACTTCTACTAGTCAATATGAAAGAGCTACATATTGAGTTTAAAAAGAAATATAATTATCTTAAAGTTAGATTTTCAAAAAAAGGTTAGATTTTCAAAAAAAGGTTTTGTTAGACTACATTGACACTTTGTTTACAGAAAATGAAATTAGTGAAGTTAACTTTTGTCAATGGCAAAAATCAAATTACCAATGTACTTTAGTACCAGCAACTCAACCTTTAGATGAATTTATTGAAATGGTTTTTGAACAGTTAGATAGTTTACGAGAGCATCATTTTATATCCAAAATTCAAGCCACTTACTACCAACATTTGAAAACTAATTTAAAAGAAAATCAAGCTTTGGTTCTTCTTGACTTTGCAGAAAACTATAGTTTTCTAATACAGGATGCAGTGCAAGGTTTTCACTGGAATAACAGCCAAGCAACTGTGCACCCCTTTGTTGCGTATTTAAAAAAAGATGGAAAACTTGATAGTCAAACTTATTGTGTTATATCAGATCATCTGAAAGATGGAACAGATGCTGTTTATTGCTTTATCGGTAATGTTATTGATAAACTTAAACAATTACAAACATTTGAACACATTATCTATTTTAGTGATGGAGGTGCATCACAATATAAAAATTACAAAAATCTTATCAACTTATGCTACCATAAACACGATTTTGACATGACTGCAGAGTGGCACTTTTTTGCAACATCGCATGGTAAAAGCCCTTGTGATGGTGTTGGTGGAACAGTGAAACGTCTTGTTGCACGAGCCAGTCTACAATCACTAAACGATCCTTTTGACACACCAAGCAAAATGTACAGCTGGTGTGTTCAACACGTCAAAGGAATATCTTTTTTTTTTGTTGACAAAGTTTCAATAGAAACACATACTACAAACTTCAATTTGGAAAAGAGATATCGTTCTTGTTCTACAATACCTGGGACACGAAATCACCACAGTTTTATTTCAATGTCACTTACCTCAATAAAAATAAGAAGAGTCTCATTGATATTATTTGCACTAATGTGGATTTTTCTACTTGCAGAATTTTTATTAATAAAATTTCAAGTTACTCACCAGGAGAATATGTGGCCTGCGTTTACAATGCTCAATGGTATTTAAGAAATATTCTTAGTATTTCAGAAGAGCATCAAGATCTTAATATGAAATTCATGAAAAAGTCTTTATGTAACAAGTTCACGTGGCCATGCAGAGATGATCTTTGTTGGGTACCTCTGATGCATATTTTATGCAAAGTGCAATCTTTTAAAGTCCAGTCAAACAGTGGAAGATTTTATAGTATTGACTTAAAAAAAAATCAATGAGATTATTTTATTATTTGAGAAATTTAACTTTTTGTAAATTTTATTAATTTTGTTTATTTTCTTAAAAACATTTTGTTTGTTTTTCATTAAAAAAATATTGTATTATAAAGAGGGGAGAGGGCAGAGGGGAGGGGACTTTATCTATTGGGATATAAGGCTATAAACATTGATATTTTTTAATTGATATTTCATAATAAATAACATTATATAATTCAATGCATTTAATTATTATGTCAATTTCAGAATTTTATGGAAAATTTACCTGACTTTTAGAGACTACCTTTTGGGGTTATAAATAAGCGCCCATTAATTTTTTTGGTTTTTATTAATTAGCAGTCTTTAATTGATGCGTATAAAAATTTTTATGAAAAAAAAAAAAAGTGCCATCTTAGGTAACAGATGCTTTGCATCACAGATCAATTTTACGAAAATCTCGATCTGACTCATTTTGGAGACCTATAACTTTTAAATGCAGCTCTTTAATCAACTGATTTTTTTAAAAATGTTTATCCACCACATGGAGATTAGCAGGCAATTTGATTTGTATTAATCTTTTAACTAGTTTTCAAGATAAAGATCATTAAAATCAGAAAAAAAAATATTTTAAAAACAAAAATCTCAACTTTAGACCGCCATTATGGAAAAAGTTAAGATGCCAGAACTGAATTTTTTTTTGTTTCCTAATGTATCCACAGCACACTTGCTAACTAATAATAACTGAAGCATGAAACTAATTTGTTCAAAAGTTGTTGGCTGATAAAAATGACAAAAAAAACCTTTTTTCTTGTAGAGTGAAATTTTATGCAAAATAGCCCACTACTTAAATAGCGTTTTCTCAAGAACCATATTATATATTGATCTAAAATTTTCAAAACATACTTTTCACATATATATGTACAAAATCAAAAAATTTCAATAAAATCTGAGATGGTCCATAAGGGACCTTTGCACCACTTGGCATGGAATGACCCTATATTAAAATGAATAACATTAAGAAAATCCCCTTTAAGAAAATCTTTCAATTCATTGTTATAAAAATAAGAGCAGTTTTGCAGAGCACCTGCTTCACTAAAATAATTTATGTCAGGATCGGATTCATTATCAAGTAAAAAATCATTAGTTTGAAAAAAGTTAAATGAACTTGACTCGAAACTATTTTGTTGGTTTGAATCCATTTTCGAATTTAGAATTTAAATAATTTTATAACTATGAAATGAAAATAAAATTTTCTTAAAATCGCGTGTGAATAATTTATTATAAGTAACCTTAACATACTTTCCTTTTCTTCGTAGCTCTTTTGCTTCCGCGAATGACTTTCTTCTTATTTCCATAGTACGTTCACTAAAATCTTCATTTATAAACACATTTTCTTTCCAGAGTTTAGCCTTTACAAACTTTTCCAAAATCGCGTTCTTGTCTTTAAAGCTTAAAAATTTTACAACAATAGTTCCATATTTTCTTTTTCTTTTTCTTTTGCAGTTATATATTTTCTATATTTTCTTTTTCTTTTGCAGTTAACATCTTCACGTTGGGAAACATACGTAGTTTTCCGGTATTCCGATCTCGGACAATAAGTTTATCGTACGAAATGTAAGCGTATTTTCCAGCTTGTCGTTCGACTTTCATTCGGTTGCGTAGTTCCTTTCGCATTATATTTGTTTCCATACAGTTGTCTTCGGATATTTTTTTTTACTTTTTTTTTTTGCCTTTTACTTCGAAAGAGTTCTTGAGAACTTTGGATTTGTCTTTAAAAAGTTTTAGAACGATTGTTCGCTGTTTTTTGTTTTCAATTTTTCCTTTCCTATGCGCTCCTACAATTTTAACATTATTAATCCCTAAGTAAATTGTTAAATGTTTTTTTAATTTTTAGTTCACAATCATTTCAGCTATTACCATCAATCCTCTATTTGTTCCGCCTCAATTGATCTTCAATCTCTTTAAGTTTGTTTTTTATTTTTGTAAGCTCATCGCCATTGTTATTTGATTTGATATTCGATAAGTTATCTTTTTTAATAGAATCAATCGCGGTTTTAATTTTTTTGTTAAATAGGTCTTCATGAAAGTGTAAGCTAATTTTAATTTCATCAACTTCCTTCATAATGTAATATTTTGTTTGAGTTCTCTAAAATGTTGCGTTCCACATGATCCAAGCGATCGTTTACTATTTTAGTGTTTGAACTAACGATGTTGACAAAAGTGTTTTCCTGGTGTTTTAACATTTCTTCAGTCTCAGTTTTGAACTTCTTAAACATTTCCTTGATCAACTTTTTGACTTCCTCAAGCGTAACAGACATGATTTAAAAACTTTTTACAAAAATGTATATATTAGGGGTTCCATATCCGGATTTTGGAATTTCGGAATTCCGAAATTCATTTGCTTTTATTAAACTTGAAATTCTGGAAGAGAAAGAAACAGAATTCCGGATAATTCAGATTCTTTAGCTTTTTTCAAATTTGAATTTTTTTTTTTTAATTTGTTATTTTGAGCCCCAAGAAGTCCTAACGGTCTTTTCACAGAGTACCACGGAAGTGCATTTAACCAGGAATTTCACGCCTCCTTCCTTACCGTGACGCGAAATATGTCCAATGCTCGTTTCGAACTGGGATCTCCTGTTTATAAAGCAAGCGCTCTAACCACGGCCGCAAATCACAGCCTCACGGGCGTTATTGTGCTTAAAAGCAAAAAGCAATGCGTAAAAAGAAAAAGTGTAACACATTTTATTTTTATTGAAACAACAGTAAAAAAAATATACTGTGAAATTGTGAACAAGCCGATTGCGTGAGTTTACAATAGTTTTTATAATATTTATTATATAAGCCTATTTCAAAGCATATTAGGTAAGTTTTATCGGATGTAACATTGCATAAAATAAGTATACACAATAAATTTACAACATATCGGTTGTAAATTTTTTGTGTATACTTATTTTAATCTCTATGATGTCGGACCAGCAAGAAGAAATTTTTGTAGATAAATCCAAAGAGAACTCATCAAATTTGGTGTGGAATTATTTTTGACGAGAGGCAAAGAATTAAGTGAATAAGTGCATACAGTGTAAGTAGATTTTAAAGATATTTGGTGGATGAATGACATTAATGCATACCCATTTGCAAGCAAAGCACAATAAGGTATTAAACAAACGAAAATTTGATAATGACTCAAATGTTGCTAGTGTGAGTGCTGTTAATTTAAATTGAAAAGCAAAACTTTGAAAGATTTTTATAATTTAAAAGTAGACGAAATTTTTGCTGCAGTAAAATCTAAAATGATCACCTCAGACGGATTATAGTTTCACGTTTTTTGTACTTCTGAAGATTTAAGAAAATGTTTAATAATGCGTAGATTTGATGTTCCTAAATCACTTACTAGTATATAGAAGGTTGTAATGGACTTCAGCAAAAAAATTCGTTTATCAATAATTGCAGAAATCGTTTCTCAAAAAAAGAAGGTATTTTTCAGTGTCACATTTGACGAGTGGACTTCTTCTACTCGTAACTGTTGTTTTATGAATTTTAACGTACATGGATCAGGAGTTCATGTTTGGAATTTGGGTCTCGTAATAATAGTCGATTTGCGGCTGAGGTATGTGTAAAGTTGTTGGAAAAAAAGCTTGCAACCTGCCAATTAAATATTCACAGTGATATTTTATGAATTATGACTGACGGTGCCTCAACGTTGCAAAAAATGGGTAGATTGCTACCTTGTGAACAAATATTATATTTTGTCCATGCAATTCAAATTGTTATAATGAATATTTTTTATTAAAAAAAACTAAAGTAGAGGAAAAGGTGTATTAGTGAAAAACCTAATTATTGAATCCAATGAAGCAAATCTTACTGATGACGACAATGATGAAAATGGAATGCGGGTAGAATGGGAAATGTAACTGATGTTATAAAAACCAGAAGAAATTTCCAGCTACGAGCATTGATCACTAAAGGGCAAAAAGTTGTTAAAGTATTCCGTCAGTCGCCTATGAGAAATGAAGTCAAGGGGCGAATTAAATGATCGCGAACTGAAAATTCCGTAAAAGTTTCTGGTCTTCAAATTTTGTTTTTCTTGAAAACATTTTTGCGCCTTTTTTTCGGACTGTTTTACAAGAAACTAAAAATTTAAAGACCAGAACTTTTTACGGAATTTTCAATTCGCGATCACTTAATTCGCCCCTCGGAAGTGCTTCAAAAATACGTGAAGTAAAATTGTAAAAAAGACTTAAACCTTGTGTTAGTTTCGAAACATAGATGGAGCAGCATGTTGTTCATATTAGATCGTTTAAATGTTTTAAAATCTTCATTAAAGAAAGCACTAATTAATATCAATGCGGACATACTTTTATATGAATCAAAATGGAATACAGTATTACAGATATCAAAAAACTTGATGCCAATAAAATTAGCTGCTACGCGTTATGTCGTGCTGACGCCAACAATAGACGCAACATTTACGTTTATGTTACAAAATATAAGTTGAGGATAACAAAATTGGCCTTGCATTGAAAAAAGAGCTAGAAATCCAAATTAACAGAAGAAAATCTAATTTATCTGATGTTTTAAAGTATTTGCATAAAAGAGCTAGAGGGAAAAATAAATTCATAAGAGTATTTCTGTTCGTTCTAAAACTAAAATAAATAACTTTATTCTAAAGCTAGCCCGACGAAATTGCTACAATAAAAAACCCAGCTGTCACTTTTACACCTGAGAACAAGAACGATCTATTCAATCAGCAATACGAAATGAAATTTTGAGACGAAAGTTGGTCGCGTGAACCACTTTTGGAAAATATTAACATCAATCTGTTGTGTATTCCTTTAACAAATGTAGAAGTAGAGAGACCTTTTTCCGCCACTGGAACTTTTTCAACAAAAATCAAGTCAAAACTTAATGATGCAACATTGAATAATTAGTGTAGGGGAATGTTGCGAAAGAAAAAAAGAAGGTTCCTTAGACTGTATAATCTCTTTTACGGTTAAGAATATTCATACAAGTTCGACGGTGTTATTTATGTTAATTTTTTGGTTGTATAGTAAATATTCTTCGATTTTTTATTGTTAAAAAATTTACCGTCCCCGTTACAATTTATTATTTTTCAATATTTGTAATTACGTCAGAACGAAACAAGATCATCAAAATATTACATCCTCAATATGTTATGCTTATCTACTGCTGATTCAATGGGTTATATGAGATAATACATAAGCTGTTGTCATGCTATTTAAATTATGATAGTAATTGGTGAAGTTGCTTGCGAGGATACGTTTTTAGACGCTCAAGATGAGATGCAGCTTTTTATTAAGAAAAGCGTGTTTTTCTAAAGTTATTCTCCGCGGAGCTTTATTTTGGCATTTCAAGAGCGAGAGTTTTTTCAAAAAAAAGTATCGTTAACTTTTTTAGGGATTTTTGATATAAAGATTTTTTTTAAATAATTTTTATTGGTTTGAAATACTTCAAAAAAAAAATTTTTTTTTCTCGAATTTTTTTTGCTTGCGAGGATACGTTTTTAGACGCTCAAGATGAGATGCAGCTTTTTATTAAGAAAAGCGTGTTTTTCTAAAGTTATTCTCCGCGGAGCTTTATTTTGGCATTTCAAGAGCGAGAGTTTTTTCAAAAAAAAGTATCGTTAACTCTTTTAGGGATTTTTGATATAAAGATTTTTTTTTAAATAATTTTTATTGGTTTGAAATACTTCAAAAAAAAATTTTTTTTTCTCGAATTTTTTTTGCAATTCCGGAATTATATCCGAATATATATATATATATATATATATATATATATATATATATATATATATATATATATATATATATATATATATATATATATATATATATATATATATATATATATATATATATATATATATATATATATATATATATATATATATATATATATATATATATATGTAAAAAGTTATATATATATAATATATATATAACTTTTTACAATTATATGTACTTTTTTTGTTTTTCGTTAAATATTTTTAGTTTATTTGTGTCAATAAGCGAACAGACGCGTTTTAAAGAAAGAAAAAAGTTTTAAAAACATGTAAATACATATTTTCTTATAAATCAATTCAGCATCCTTGTAAATCAATATGGCATTGACTCTTCAAGAAATAAAGAAAATGTTTAAAGAAATATTTAGTGAGTTTAAAAAAGATATGTTTAATGAGTTTAAAAAAGAAACCGAAGCTATGTTTAAAAAACACAAACAAACAGTTCTAAACATAATCAGTGGAAATCTTAAAATTTTAAACGAAAGATTGGACAAGCTTGAGACTAATGAATGCTAATGAAAATGTAATAAAAATCTAAAAAATTGAAAAAGAAATTGAAGAAATAAGCGATAGCATAAACTTTAACGAAAGCATTATTGATAAAAAAAATCGAATACAATAGCAAACAACTAGAAAAGGAAATAATCGAAAATGAAATTTTAAAAGAAAAACATCAAAAACTTGAAGTTCGTTCACGTAGAAATAATCTACGAATAGATGGATTATACGAAGACGAAAAAGAAACTTGGGGACAAACAGAAGAAAAAGTCCACTTATTTTTCAAACAAAAACTTGGTGTTGAAGATATTGAAATTGAGCGTGCCCATCGCACTGGACAAAAGAAAGACGGAAAACCTTGGACAATAGTCCTCAACCTTCAACGATATGAAGATAAAGTAAAAATACTGAAAGAACTACATCGAATAAAAGGAACAAACATTTTCGTTAACGAAGACTTTTTACTCGAAACCGTTGCCATCAGGAAAAAATTGTTTACTGACGTAAAACGAAGACGTTTAAACGGAGAGAATGTTGCGGTTCGGTATGATTATGTTTTAAAAATTCTTTTTACGATAACAATAGAAAAAAGTAAACTAATTCACACTCTTAAAAAGAACTCTTTTAAACATATAAAACAATCATGGCTACATTAAATAATTTTGAATCTCTCGCGTTTAATTTTTTCGAAAACTCAGAGCCCGACAATAATTTTTATTGTAAGACTTTTTCAGATTGTTCGTATATTTTTCCAAACGAACTAGAAGAGTATCTTTTTAAGAATGTTATTGACAAAAATTCGAATCAAATTAGAATTCTCCACCTCAATATACGAAGTCTAAATAGTAACTTTGAAAAACTTTTAAATCTAATAGAAGAAACGAAAAACCTTTTTAATATAATATGCTTAACAGAAACGTGGATTACATCAAAAAATCTAAATAGTCATTTTTATATTCCGCATTTTAATATTATTTCTTTGGAGATACAAATAAATAAACGAGGTGGTGGAGTACTAATTTATGCGCACGAAACACTTAGGCTTGTTTTTAAAGGCGATTTGAGCATTTCTGATAGCGACAAAGAAGTCTTAACAATTGAAATTGAAAACAACCAAACAAAAAACTTATTAATTAGCTGTTGTTATCGGCCGCCTGCTGGCGTGAGTGAAAACCTTAGCATGTTTTTGCATAACGTCATTAAAAAAGGCGATACCGAAAAGAAAAAAAATATTTTGCTTGGGGATTGAATTATGAATTGCTTTCTTTATAACAATGATTATAAAGTAAAAAGTTTTTATGACACATTTTTTGAAACAGGATCAATCCCCCTCATTAATCGCCCTACCTGAGTAACTATAAACTCAGCGACTTTAATCGATAATATTATTTCAACTGATATTTTTAATAAGGGTATAAAAAAAGGTATATTAAAAATTGATATAACCATTTTCCCATTTTTGTAACAATTGATACATATACAGCAAAAAACATTGACAACAAAAAAGTATTGAAGAAACGTATCATTAATCAAAATAACCTTAATTTATTCAAAGACCAACTATCCTTACTCCATTGGAATAATATTAACATAAACAATAATGCAAACGACATATATGAAACTTTCTATAAAACTTTCTATTCTGTATACGACGCTAACTTTCCCGTAGTTGAAATAATAGCAAAACCTAGGAGTTTAAATTCTCCTTGGATTACCAAGGGGTTTAAAAAATCTTCCAAAATCAAACAGAAGTTATATATAAATTTTCTAAAAACAAAAACAACTGCAAATAAAAAAATTTACAAAAACTTTAAATATTTATTTGAGAAAATTCGTAAAAACTTAAAAAAAAAATATTACTCGGAATTACTTAACAAATTCAAATATAACACCAAGCGCATTTGAGAAATAATGAAGGAAATTATAGGAAAACATGCTTTGGTTTTCTGCCACAAATGATTAAAATTGAAAACACTAGCATATTTGAAACAAACGCTATATCACATGAATTTAATAAATTTTTTACTGAAATAGGTCCTAAACTATCAAATAAGATTTCTATCACAAGAACTTTGTTTAGTGACTTTTTATTATCCTTGAAGAAGTGCATGCGCTCTGATGAGCTATCCTCTGATTTATCAATTGAAGAACTTGAAAAGGCGCTCAAATCTATTAAAAAAAAAAATAATGTGGACCAGACGAAATAGATGGAAATGTGATAATAGATTGCTTTAAGCAACTAAAAGATGTTCTTTTCAAATTTTGCTATGCCTCAATTAAACAAGGAATCTTTCCAGAACAATTAAAAATTGCCAAAGTTACACCTGTTTATAAAGATGGTGACCAATCCCAAATAACTAATTATCGCCCCATCTCTGTGCTCTTTGTATTTTCAAAAATCCTAGAAAGAATTATGTACAACAGAATATATAAACACTTTGACAAAAATAACATACTCTATGTTAATCAATTTGATTTTAAAAAGGATAGCTAAACAGAGCATGCAATTATCCAACTTGTATATGAAATTTCAAAATCGTTTGAACAATCAAAATATACATTAGGTATTTTTATCGACCTATCGAAGGCCTTCGATACGGTTGACCATCACATCCTACTCAAAAAACTGAAATACTATGGAGTAAATAACCAAGCGTTAAGGTGGTTCAGAAGTTACTTAACAAATAGAAAACAATTTGTTGTTGGTAATGACAACTATCACAACAATTGTTTAAGTATAACCTGTGGAGTTCCACAAGGTTCAATTCTCGAAACTCTCCTTTTTTTAATTTATATAAACGATTTAAATAAAGCAACTAATCTGATGAGCATCATGTTCGCTGATGATACTAATTTATTCATCTCTAAGAGCGATATTAGCGAACTTTTTGCCACAGTGAATAAAGAACTTAAACTTTTATCCCACTGGTTCAAATCCAACAAATTAACTTTAAATACTGACAAAACTAAATGGACTCTTTTTCATTCGAATAGGAAAAAAAATTTTTTACCCTTAAACTTGCCTCCAATCTTTATTGATGAAATTGAAATAAAAAGAGACTCCGTTATTAAATTTTTTGGTGTTTATCTCGATGAGAACATTAATTGGAATCAACATATTAACTATATATGCACTAAAGTCTCTAAAAACATTGGAGTTTTGTACAAAGCTCGAACTTATCTCAATAAGAAACACTTAAGGCAACTTTATTTCTCATTTATTCACTGCTACATAAACTACGCTAATATTGCCTGGGGAAGTACTGAAAAAAGTAAATTACATCGTCTTTATCGCTGTCAGAAACGAGCAATTCGCATAATTAACTTTGCTGATCGTTTTTCTCATTGTAAACCTTATTTTATTGAGATGAAAATTTTACATATATTTGAACTCAACGTTTAAAAAATTTTATGCTTTGTTTATATGTGGAAAAACAATCTATCCCCCTCCCCCCAGTCTTTAAAGATTTTTTTAGTTTAAAACCCAGCAACAAATACACTCTTAAAAGAAAATTTTTTAACGAACCTTTTTGTCAAACAAATTTTAATCAATTTTGTCTATTTTGTCTTGCCTATCGTGCACCGCACCTATGGAATAAACTTGTTTTACCTAATGTTGATTTTGATCGACCAAATTCTTTTTGTCTTTTTAAAAACAAAATTAAAAATCTAATTGTTTCCCTCGATAACATTTTAGAATACTATTAATTAATTTATCTATTATTTAACTTTTTATTATTTTTCCCTAAAGTTTTGTTGTTAACAACTATTTATATTTAAAGAATTGCTAATGTAAAAGTTCTATATATATTTTACTTTACTGTAACGTATACTTTACAAGGTATTCGTAAATTATATTGTTTATAAATGTTTTTTTAAGGTTCCGATGATAAGACCTTTGTGATCTTCTTTCGGAAACCTAGTTTACACTGTTATCACGATTTGTATATATATATTTGTAAAGTAATTTTAATAGTTTATTGTATTGTAAAACGACTGACTTTGTAAGCTGAAAAAAAAAATTAAAAAAATAAAAATAAAAGAACTAATGAACTGTTTTTTGTAAAACTGGGTTTTTTATTCTAATGGTATACTTTGAGTCATTAATTTTATAAATACATAGTTCTACTATATTTATTTTATTTTAAAGTATGACAAAAAAAAGTTTTTAAATAATTTGTTATCAATAAAATAAAAACATAGAAAAGAAATTTGATTCAAGTCATAAATCTTAAAATCATTTAATTTAAATTTTCATTTAAATCGATGTGATTTATACCGGTCAACCCTCAGTCGCGAATTAAGACTTTTTGAGGCCCGGGGCTATTTTTGTTTTTAGAGGCTTTTTTATGGGCCAGAGCATAAAAATGACTTGAAAAAAAAAAAAAAGGTCTTCTAAAATTTTAAGGGGACCCCTAAATTTGCGGGGCCCGAGGCTATAGCCCCCTTGATCCGGCACTGCCAACCCTGCTTAATAATATGCATAAATCCTTAAGTCATAGCTTCTAATTGTAAACAAAAAAAAAAAAAAAATCACGCACAATGGAAATACAAAACTGTGAAAGTCACTTTCTTTGATTGACTTTCAAGTTATAGTCGGTTTTTTGACAAATATAGTCGGTTATTCGACACAATTCAGTCGGGTTAATTTTAGTTTTGGGGGCTTTTTTTTTTTTTAGGAACTAGTCTTAAGTATTTCCCTCCTCATTTTATTCGTAGAATCGCCTCTTTTTTTTTTTTTTTTTTATGCTACATATTTTGTAATCAGAGGCGATTTTACGGGGGGGATGGGGGGTGTTACACCCCCCTCCCCAAAGAAGGTGATTTTCAAGTTATAGTCGGGTTTTTGGGCTACTTTATTATTTTTATTATTCGGCTATTTTATTATTTTTATTATTCAGTCGGTTAAATTTTCGTTTTGAGGACCTTTTTTTTTTTTGAAATTAGTCGATACTTTTTGAGGATTAACCTCCCCCCCCCCCCCCTCATTTTATTTGTAAAAATGGGGTCTATTTGTAATACGCCTTTTTGTTATATATTTTGACTCTTTATTCATATTTATAAAATAAATATTGCATGCAAAATTTTAATATAAAATTTTCTGCAGTTAACACGAGATATCGGAATTAGATTTCTTGCATATTTTAATGATTTTCAGATAAATTTCAAAAAACTCCCCGACATTTACATATGTACACGTAACATATTTTCTTTCATTTCTTTAAATTTACATAAGATAAAATCTCATCACTAAGATGTGAACTTATAAGTTATAAAACTTATAAGTTCACAATATGTTTTATAACTTATGTGAACTTAACAGTTATATAACTTCACATCTTAATGATGAGATAATAAATGTGATCGATAAATGCGCCGCTTCTTTAAAATCAGCGAATCAGCTTGCGCTGTTTTTTCACCCGGTTTTTATGACATTTTAAAAAAAAGCTATATTTAATGAAATGAGCATTAAAAATAACAAAAATATAAGCATTTATAATGCTTTAGTGTCAAAGAACTCAAGAAACACAGTGAAAACGCTGAAATTTGAAAAGAATATACTTTAAAAAAAGGTAAACAACTATTTTATGTAACTAAACTTTAGTGTCCAATATCTCAAAATAACTTTGTGTAAAATTTTTTTTTCGATTTTAATATTTTTATTTACTCAAGATATTATTTGTCACAAAAATCTAACTAAAAAAACAACAGAAACATAAAACTATAATTTCAAATTACCACTTTTAATAAAGTAAATGTACCGCTTTTTTAAAGAAATTGCTAAAAATATTTAAAAACAAATTAATTTTAGTTTAAAAATTTACTTAAAAATATAAAGAATTTTCATTGATAAATATACAAGATATTTTAAGGTAATAAAAGTTATTTTGACTTGAGTTGTAACAGTTCACAGCAACAGTTGTCATTTTGTTTGAACTTCTTCTATTTCAGCTTTCTAACATACTTTCTATATGCACTAGATAAGCTTGTGTATCAGACAGTTTTTTCAATATAATAATATTGGCAACAAAACAGTAGTTTTCTATTTGAGTACAGCTAAAATATAAAGATAGAGTTATTAGATAGAGGAACTTAACTTTAGCATAACCTTGATCCACCACTTGTCATTATAGACTTTTGGTATATAACCTCCTAAAGTGACAGAGTTTATCATATATCTTTTTTCATTTTGAGTTTGTGGATTATTGTGCAATTATTATCTGTACTCCAACCCTATTATCTGCAAGATCTATAAACTGATGATATGATACAATTACCAGGTAGAGTTTTATCATCTTATTTTTCTACTTTTTTTAATGTTTCAAATGTTAGTCTGATTCTTTCATGAAAATTAAGTTGAAAATCATTTTCATTCAGTTTCTTGAAAATCATTTTCATGAAAATCATTTTCTTAATACACAATTTATACATTACTTCAGATGTTTGTCAGTATTTTTGTGAGTGTGAGTTTTGGTTTGTTTCAAATGTCTTGTTACAGTATCTTTTTAAAGTACCACCGATTATTTTGCATTTAGCAAAAATTGTATTAATCCTAAAAACTTCTACAATTTTTGTACTGTCTTATATTTAGAAGTTTTGTTTTTAATTTATGTATAATTTTGTTTTTAATTTAGGTATACAAGTTTACATTGTGTGTAATGTTGTCTGATAAGAAGAAGAAGAAGAAATATGTTACAGTATACTTTTAAACCCAATAGTGTTGCATGATTTTTAGTTTGCTATTGCTGGTAGTTTATCTCTAAATCATCTTTATATTCTTCCAAAATCTTATAGAAATATGTGGAAAAGTTATCACATTCTGTTTTTGTTTTCTACTGAAAAACAATTTATGTTTTGAATGTAATTTTTTATGTTTTTCATAAATATTTAAGGCCCTCTCTAGCAATTTGGTGATAAAAACAAATGCAACCAGTATGTGTACTTTTTGCGCTTAGCAAAGGTCTAAATGAATCAAAATTTTTCATTTATGAATGTTCTTTCTGATGCATAGGTTATATTTTTTCCAGGCATAGTTCAACTAAAAACATGTTATGAATGATCATATTTCATCTTGTTTACCTTGACTTTGTTCCTCTTCGGTTAGATCTTCTCTTCTGGCAATCTTTTGTTTAAAAGATTGCAGAGTTTATTCACAGAAGCAATGATCAATTTACTTTAAATTGTGGCCTGTGACTTTTACTGTAACTCCATCAAGATTTTGTATTGGTCAAGAAAATCGATAACAAATGAATGTTATTTTTCAATTAAACTTTTTAGAAACTTTTTAATTGCCATTTGAAAAAAAATACACACCAATTTTACAATTGGTTAGTTTTGATATAAAATTAGTTATATAAAAACAAAACCGGATGTCTTTTTTAGTTAAGATAGTTAGTATCACTTAATTATGTAAATTTTCCTAAAATATATATATTTTTTTCAATCTAAAGAATCTTTAAACCAAATTTAATACTTAACCAGAGTTCTAATTGCAAGTTATTTCTAGAAATTTCATGAGTAAAATAATTTCAACTGTTTTTGTAGTTCTATATGTTTATCCAATTAGATTTTTTGTGGCAAGTAATCTACTTATTAAATTTAAAAAAAAAATCTAAAACTATTAAAAGCAAAATCAAAATTTTTACACCATGGTTTTTTAAGAGATTAGACTCAAAAGTTGAATTATATAAATTAGATGTTTTCCTAATTTTTAAAAATAAGTAAATAATTCTAAAATTTCAGCGTTCTAAGTGCATTTCTAATTTTGTATTAAAAAAATATGAAAAATGTTAGTGATGAAGATGAGTTCTAACATAAATAAAACTAGCAAGTAAATAAAAATGGTGTTGAACAATTTAAAAAAAAAATAAAAAAAAAATTTTAATTGCTAAAATTAATCCATTATGTCAGAGGTGATGTAATACTACATTATGTCAGAGGTGATGTAATACTAAAATTTGTAATATTTTTAACAATTATGTTTGTTAAAATGATTTTTTAAATTTTTATACTAACACACAAATAATTTTTATTAGTTTAATTTTAGCCCGATAATTCTTATGCATAAGAAACATATAGTTTATAGATAAAAGAATTTATAAATTAAAATAAATAATAAAATTGTTTTATATGGAATTTAAAAACAGTCATAAGTCAAACATACCCCTAAACCACCTTTGTTATATAGTTTTTTCAAAAATTAGTAATTACTTCTGCAGAAAATTCAAAAATGTTAAAGGTTATGTGAGTGCACATTAGTATGTTATGGGGTAATGTAAGATGTAATGTTAATCTAGTAATAATACTAATAAAATAATGTTTGGGTTTATTTTATTATTAAGTTTTTTATATTACAGCCAATCTTTGTTCCAAACAAATAAATAGCTTTAATCCAAATAAATTTAAAACTGTCTCAATAATATTAAATTGATTAATTTATTAAATATTTGTTAAAAAAAAAATGTTTCTTAGATGTATTTGATTGTATCTTTAGATGTCTAAAATTATAGCTGTATTTGGTGCAACAGGAAACCAAGGAGGTTCAGTGCTTCGTTCATTAGTAGAAAGTGATTGTTATCATTTAAAAGCAGTAACTAGAAATATTAAGTCACAAAAAGCGAAAGAACTTTCTGGTCTTAAAAATGTCACATTAGCAGAAGCTGATTTAGACAATAAAGAAAGTGTTGATTCTGTTTTGAAAGGTTGCTATGGTGCTTTTCTTGTCACTGATTTTACTTCTCATTTTGTAAAAAACAAAGAGATTGAGCAGGGTGTTAACTTCATTGATAAAGCTATAGCAAACAATGTTAAACATATAGTTTTTAGTGGTTTGGAAAATGTTGAGTCTCAAATCAATGAACCTTGTTTACATTGTGACTACAAAGCAGCCATTGAAGACTATGGTATGAAACATAAAGATAAAATTAACTTTACTTCAGTTCGAATGCCTATGTTCTATCAAGAAGTTGTTGGAAGTGTATTTAATAAGGCATTTGGAAATAGATTTTTACTAAATATACCAATGGACAGAGAAAAAAAGATTTATCTGATGAATGTTGATGATTTAGGTAATTGTGTTGCAAGTGTTTTTGATGATCCTGAACAGTACAAATCACAAATCATTGGACTTTGTGGAGATTACATGAAAATCCAAGATTTATTACTACTATTGAATCAGGAGTTGTCACCCCTCAAAGTTTATTTTCCAGGTGGTTCGTTTAACAGATTTCTCTTTAAAAATGTATTAAATTTTCCCGGTGTTAATGATGTTCGAGTAATGTTTGATTATTTCAATCATCAGATCATGAAGCGTGATGCTGATATAACAAAAAAGCTCAATCCTGATGTTGTTAATTTTGCTACTTGGCTCAAAAAGAATCGTACTCAAATCATTTCTAACAAAACTGCATAATTTAAATATATATGTATATATATATATATATATATATATATATATATGTATATATATATATACATATATATATATATATATATATATATATATATATATATATATATATATATATATATATATATATATATATATATATATATATATATTTGCTTTAGGATTTTTAATGAAAATGTTTGCTTTTTTGAGTTAAACAGTCTTTTTTTTTTAATCTTCTTTATTTTAGAACCATTTTTTATTCATTTTCAAAAATGAGATTATTCTTTATGTAAAACTATGGTTGCCAGATGTTCAACTTTTACATGGGAGAGCTCAGTAAAAATTTTGATTTTAATTGGTTTGGCACTGTATTCTCCTTTGTAAAAAGCGGGCATCTGATAACCCTATGTAACACTGAATTTTTTCGAGTGAACAGGTTTATTTATAACAATAAAAAATCAAGTGGTTGCTTTATTAGTTGCACTCACTGTATTTATATATTTATGTTTGTGAAATACACTTTTATATGCATTATTGACTATTGACACATCTGTATTTAATAACTTGTTTTATTATTAATTTATTTTATAGTGATTATCTTTAAGAATAATTTTTGTTCGTTGATAAGTATATACTCTCCTTTTACAATAGTAAAGTTTTTTTTAATAAATATTTTTATTAGTTTTTAAAGTAAAAAAAGCGTTTATAAATATTAATAATATTCTATTACTATAGATATTTCAAGTCATTGCTCTCAGTTTTCGGAGCAGGACGGTAACATTTTAAAAATTTTGCTTTACATCCGAATAAGTTTGCAAAGCTTTTTATGATTTTTTGGCGTTCTATAATTGTAACTATGTAAAATATAGAATTCCCTCATTTTGAGAGAGATATTAAACTTTACATGGTCGGAACTTTCGTACACTAAAAGAGAATTATCTTAAATTTGAAACTTGTTGATAAATTTAAATATAAAAGTGTAAATAAAAATATTTTATTAACTCGTTGCCCGCGCATTCTGCCTAGTAAATATTTAAGATTTTTTTTCCTAGGCTCCAATTTTTGTGGGTTTTTCGGTAAACAGTTGAATAAGCAAGGAACTCATTCATGTAATACTTGTGGATATTACCTGTAATTGCACCTTTTCAAAATATTATTGAGAACATGAATGTTTTAATCAAGAAATTGTAGTATGTAATTAAAAAAATTCTGTTTTTAGTTACCATATTCATTTACATTACAACCACAATACTTTACTTTCATTAACAAATGATCATAATTCTTTTTAAGAAATATTTTCATGCAAACAATAACAAATATAAAATCTAAAAAACTATAATATATAAAATAATATTACTGTACAATAAAAGATATTAGATTAACATCAAACATAAGATACTGACGTCTATATGATCCACGACCAGTATTTTAGGAATTGAAGTTTCATTATAATATCAACAAGTTTAACATCATAAAAATTTTCATCTTCTCTGGGGATCGTTCATAAATTTATTTTAAAAACAGAAGCAGGAGATCTTAAGCTCTTTTACGCAGCAATTTTCATTAGATTTTTCATTTAGTTTAAGTCTCTGGGAGGGAAAACATTTGATTTCATTTGTTTAGTTTATTAGAGAAATTTAGCGTTGCGTAGTTTATGGATAACTCAGACAAGTTTATTTTAAAAGTTTCCTGGTTTCTCAAAAATAAGATCTTGCCTTTATCTTTAGATAAATTCCTTAAAATTGAATTGGGGCGGAATATTTATGTCCTTGTCTTCATCTTTTCTTTTTATTGCTGAACGACATCCATCCATTTTGTTGGAAAAAAAGTACCCCCCCCCCCCATGGAAGAGCTCTTCGGGACGCCCCTGATGATAAATGTGTTATGATAGATGTCTTAAGCATAATTTTGGTTTTTATTTATTTCAAATGTTAAATATATATATAACATATATATTTCAAAAGGTAAATATTAAAACATAATTTTAGAACATTTTTTTTTTAAATAATTTTAAAAAAATAAACGGAAACTTCTTTTTGCAAAAGTTAAAGATATTCGAGCGACAGCACAGTGAGTCAGAAAGGAGAAAAACGGTAAAAATTATATAACTATCATATATAAAAAAAGTGATACATCAATACTATCGTACTATGGGTCAAAAAATTTAAATTTGCTACTGAAAATAGTTTACGCGTACTTATAACGCGCACTTACGCGTGTAAGTGTCATTTACGCGCGCTAATTATGATTTAAATAAAAAAATCGGATTCCTTGATCAAAAATACCATACAAAAGAGTACCACATATTTTTTAATGTAAATTTTTCTTGTTCTTAAAGCTCATAATGCAAACGCGTATACGTGTTAGACTCTTTTACGCGCACAAAGAATGACTTAATTTTAAAAAATTAAATTCTTCAAACCAAAACATTCACTAATAAAAAAGAAAAATTGGATTCAAAAAATGTTTTAATAATATAACAAAATTAAAATATATTAAATACAAAATAAATATTTATCATATCTAAAAGAAAACAAAAAAGAAAACCTAATATTAATAAAAAAGCTTTATTTCATTATTACAGAATTAACAAAGATAAAACTTTAAGTTAAGTGTTTTTCCATTTTCAACTTTGTATTTCTTGAAACTAATGTTTGATATTACAGGATCATTTCTAATCAACAGGTATTGGAACTGTTTTTTGATAACATTCTTTCTAGATATTTTGGCTGTATGGTTTAATCTAACTTTGCAAATATCCTTTTTTAAAGCTCTTATGGCTCTTCAGAGTAGTAACCAATTGGTTGAATTCAGAGTAGTAACCAATTGGTAGTTCTAACGCCTCAGATATCTGCACACCATGCTCCAAGAGTTTATAAACAGTTGGGGGAATCACATACCAGCAATAGTTTTTGAGTATAAAAGCTGTAGTTTCATAGCAATACTGGCCAAAACTTTCAGAGTTTAACTCAACAGGAGCATACTGATATTAGGATTGTCCTCAGTCTAATAATTACATCTACTGCCACTTCCGTAATATCAGTAAAAGTTTCAGCATTTTCAAATGCCCTTCTGGCAGTGTTTCCATTGTTAGTGTTGCCAAAAATCTGTTTTGGCATATCAACTATAAGACTTAGCTCCTCTCTAAACCTCAGTTGAATGTTCTTTTTTCTACTTTTTACTGATGCTTTTTCAGCAGGGGATTTGGTAAATTATTTTTTAATGTCTAACTTATATGCTAAATGTAAAATATATTCAAAAGATCTAAGCCAGCAATGCAGAGTAGAAAGGTCCAAAGATAAAGCTTTTTCATTGATTGGTTTAGATTTGATCAATGCTGGGTTATCAAGTTCATTGGGCGAAGCTCTGCAAACATTACATGATTGAGAGGACAGAGTGTTAATGAGGGCATTAACCACTTTACCATCAAACATAGTCAAATTTAGTTTGAACTTAAATGCGATAGTCGTATACAGTTTGCCTTCCTCTACTTCTAACTTTACTTCAAACTTGACTAGTCTATTCATTTCTACTTTTAAAAGTTCATACTCATTTCTTATCAATTCTTCCGTTTCTTTTTAATATTGGAGATATTTTAGGGGTCTACAGTAATGTGTACTAAAAGGGCTTCTTATTTAACCATACACTTTTGTTCATGATGGTTAATTTAAATGGAACAACAGCTGTATGGAAAAGACTTTGCTCGTTAACTTGGGCCTCACTAAAATTTGTATCAGTATATTTTTGTTTATAGGCACTTTGACTGGAGGCACCATCAAAAGCAACTTTAAAGTGAAGTAGACCACCCCCCAATATTAGCAAACATTCTCATAGAGTCTTGGCATTCCGTAAAAGTTAATGTCCTTGTCAGAGTATGATTAAAAATACCATGTGGAGGAGTTGAAGCAGACGTTTCTTTCACAATTAAACCCTCATGATAACATTTGTGTTTCTCATTCTTAATATCATAAAGTGAAGAATAAATACCTGCATTATGTATTATTGATGAATTTCTAATAACTTGATACTGTTCATCAGAAAGGTCACACTAAATTTTTAAGCTCAAGGCATCTTCGGTTTTCATTTTTATCGGAAAATTTATCTCCGTGATTTTATTTTTTGTAGCTTTTGTAGTTTGTAGCTCTTTTCATGAGAACAACGAAGTCTTTTTTGTTAGGATCTTTAGTGGCTTTTTTTATTGAAGCTAATGTCAATGCTTTAGCAGGATGTTCAGCCAATTTGGCAACCTTAAACAAGATAATACTTAATATTTAAACTTGTAAACTATTTTTTAAACTGAGTTGAATTTAATTGATTTATAATTACCTTAGATTTTCTGCTTCTATCACTTATATCTTCCCAATTCTTGCACTTTCTACCTGGACCTGCTGCTAAGTTTTTTTTATCAATATTATTACATCTTTGTCCAACCAAGTTTGTTCATGTTCTAAAAGTCTAGAGAAGGTTCTTTATCCGCAATGTTTCTGCAACTTTGATCGGAATTTACATTTAAATATTATAAGAGTTTTCTTTAGATTTACCATTTCAGGTTTGTCAATACTGCTATAGTATAGACCCTACAATCTACAAAACTCACGTAGATGAGCGTCGAGTAAATTGCTGCAAATCTTTTTGAGAGAGCCATTACTATGGAGAACCATCTAAACCATACAAGTGTGGAAACATGGATGTAAATCTTAAACACATTTGTGATATATAATTGTAGAATGTTATATGTTATAAGTTTGGAAATTATATTCTGCTAAAAAAAACTTTTTAAATGTATTTTAGCAGAACATACCTGGCCCGCATTTGATCCTGAAAAACGTTCTTTTTGGACCAAATGTTGGCTGGGTAATTTGGACTTTTAAATGAACTTATATTCATAATTTTTAAACTGCTTATGATCTGATCTGATTTTATTTTTGTCATTTGTTTATTTAAATGTGAAATAAACTGATGAGTTTATTTAACTTAGCTGGTAAAAAAAAGAGTTTTCGTGAAACAAATTTAATGAAGACAATTATAAGTATACCTGTTAATGTAATATATTTTGTATTGTATTTTGTATGCTTAGTTTTGACGAATTTTTAAATACTGCAAACTCACACTCGCACAAAAATCAACTGTGAACTCTTATTTAATCAGTTGCAAAAGTTGACTTTGAAAATTTTGTATAAGATATTATAGCTTATTTATTAGACTGTGTTTTTAAAATGAAGTTCATTCATTTGCTGGCAACTTTTTTAAACGTGGTCCAGATCGAAAAAATTTGGTGCTAGAAATTGTCGATAGTGGAAGTGATAGATGCATCGAACCTAATTTGTAATTAATTTCTGTAAATAAGTTTCACTTTACTAATTTTTGTGTTGAATTCTTGTTTTTCAAATGGTATTTGAAATTAATAAATCTAAAAATTAACGTATAAAAAAATACGCACCAAATAAGACCTATTTATGGCATTCCATATCTAATGTTTTTCATTATTTCTAAACTGTTACTTAAACTAAACTCAATTTCTCAGTCCTATCGGGACGTCTTTTTTATATTCCTCGTAAGGCGTCTTTTTTACGTTCCTCTCAGGACGTATTTGTCACGTTCCTTCTGGGACGTCTTTAAAACGTTCCACGCAGGACGTCTTTAAAACGTTCCACGCAGGACGTCTTTAAAACGTTCCACGCAGGACGTCTTTCTGTATTTCCAAATCCAACCAATTTAAGACGTCCGATCGGGACGTCTTAAAGACGTCCTAAAGCCGTCCGCGTGCCCACTGGGGTAACTATATAAAAAAGGTTTTAATCAAAAATCAGTTGATAAAAAATGTAATTGCAAAAAAGAACATGCAATTGATAAGAAATACATACACATGTTAAAAGAAAAAAGGTTTTGAAACGTACCAGACGTAGCACACGTAAAAAGAACTAAAGGTAAAAAATGTATTGTAAAAATCAATATTGCAATCAATATGAAATTTGTGCGCATTAAAAAGAGTTGTTTAACTTACCAGGTATAGCACAAAAGATAAATACTAAAGTTACAAAGTTGTAACAAAAAATCAATATTGCAAATAACGAGAAATGTATACACATTAAATGTAATAGTTTTTTAAATTACTAGTTGCAGAACATGACTAAGGAACTAAAGTTAAACATATTGTACAGTTTGCACATTAAAAAGTAAGAGTTGTTTAACTTACCAGTTGTAGCACATGGTGTAACTTACCAGATGTAGCACATGGTGTAACTTACCAGATGTAGCACATGGTGTAACTTACCAGGTGTAAGTTAAACAACTAAAAATTACAGTTCTATTATTAAATCAGTTTTGCTTTACGTACAACAACTTTACTAATAAAAAAAGATATGAAAAATTAATAAAAAACATAAATTATATTACTGTATTTTAAAATTATATTACTGTATATTGGAAAAACACTAACAAGATGTTTTTATATAAATAAACTTATTTTTGTAAAAGTATATTAATATTTTTACAAAAATAAGTTTACTATTATAAAAATATTTTGTCAAAAACTTTATTGGCTTAAGCCAATAAAGCTTTACTGTAAAGTATAATAATGTCGTTTGTATATTTTTATATATATGGTGTATTTACAACATTGGCATCTGATACTATTAGTTAATAAAACATTTCAAAGTAACGGTTTTATCTTAAATCCTAAACTTTTTAAATATATACCATCAATGGTATAAGTTTAAAAAACTTAAACTATGTTTACATGCCATGTAAAGAAAGATTAAGGTTTTTAAACTTATCATGTTTTTAAACTTATTATTGTTTTGTTTAAAAGTTAATATTCTCATGACATATTAACTTTTTGAAGTCTTCTTTGCCAGAACTTTTAGCATTTTTTTTTGAATTTTAATCTAATATTAAAAATTAAAATAATACAATGTAGTAATAATTTTTTTGTTTACAATCCGCCTCCCCCTATCCTCCCCCGTATTTCTCTTACCAATAAAACGAAAACAAAAAAAACCGAATTTAGGTACCAAAAGTCCTACATTTCTTAAACTATCTGCTCCCAATTATTTTTTGCTGAAATTTGGCATGTGCAAAAAAAATGCATGTAAAAAATTACGTAACGTCACGACATTCCTTCAACAATAAATTAATGTGAGAACATCGACAAAATTTTCTTGAAAGTTTTCAGCAAAACTAACCATAAAAAGTTTTAGTAATTATACATAAAAGTACTATAAAAATCAAGCCTAACTTTCTTCTTTCCAAATATAACTTTTGTTTATATATGTTTCTAAAAAGAAACACCACAAAAAACGTTTGTCTAACCCTACCTAAAAAAAGCAGTATATTTAATAAAGCACCTCGTAATATATCTGCTCCCAATTATTTTTCTTTGAAATTTGGCACATAAATAGAAAATGCATGTAAAAAATTGCCTTAATAACAAAAAAAGCGGACACGACATGCCTTCGTCTACAAATTCATGCAAAAACATCATCTGTGTTTAAGTGAATAATTTTAAAAACTATGCATTTCATGCATGACCAGAGTTAAGACTTATCATGGCTTGATATAGGATAATGGCTAGAAAGTATGTTTTAAGATTCTATTATAGAAAAATATAATATATTATAGAAAAATACACACTAAAAAAAGAACTATTGAACTTTATACAAAATAAGCAAAAAAGCATACACAGTTTTAACAGTTTTATATCATAATATTAGTAGCAATTTAAAAAATTTACAAAAGCAAAATGTTCAAATGTAATCAGGGAAACTTTGCAAATACCAAACATTGAGTTTACAGAATATAATATTTTATAATATTAAATTTTTAAAATGATCTTAAAATTCTTAACGAGTCAATAAGTACTTCAAACTGCACTTTTATAAATTATAAATTGTAAATTATGTATTTTTACTTTACAACCCTGCATTAAAATTTTTTTTGAAAATCGCCCAGAATAAGGACGCAGCCAGATATAGGTCAGTTTATCCTAAATTACAAGTTATGTAGGTTGAACGGAGTATCATAATGGCGTCAAGAAAAGTATCGAAAAAATAATAAAAAGTGTTTTTTTAAATTATTAAGTCCAGATATAAATAACAAATTAGTATAAAAACTGAAATATTGTAATTTAATAGGTTAAATAATCTTTTTTGATGTGCGAGAACCCAAAAAAAGCAATTTGAAACAGTTTATTTACTTGTCATAAAGTGTAAATTAAATAAACTATCGAGAAAACGATTTGAAAAATCTTCTAGCTTCTTTTTTAAGAAACTTTGAAGGATAATCTCTATAAATCAACATTTTTTTTTAAATTTTTGCAAGTGAAAAATAACTGGCAATTGATTTTGAAATTAGGTACCATGAATAAAAATCCCAAAAATGTTGCCGAAAAATTTGCTAAAGTTTATATTCTAAAGACTGAAGTGCCTTATGCCTCTAAAGTGCCTACTTTTTCTTTTTATTAATAGTTTTTATTATTTTAATTGAGGTTATGTATTAAGCGGTTTTTGGTAATGTTGGTTTTTCTAATGTTAGTTCAATTTTCCTAATTCTAGTACTAGAAGTCACTTAAGAGTTTATTAAGTTTGTTAAAACCTTTCAATTTTGAATTGGATTGAGCATGCCAATAAAATATTCATTAGGAAATATTCTTCAAACTTCTTAAATTAAAAGTTTCTTTTTGAGTAACTTAAGACTTTTCGGGTTCTAATACTAGTTTCTTATTAACAGGTTTCAAAACTTGTTGTATTTAAATGCTGATAGAAACCAGTACTTTCTCATATGCAATTAAAGCCAATTAGTTACTTAAGTTACATAACTTTATAACATTTTTTTAGGTTTCGTAACGTTTCAAAACTTAAGTTAAGTTACGAAACAATTTAACGTTTTGTAACTTAATATTAAAAAAATTTTAAATTGCGTTTTTTATTTTTTAAGTTTCCTTTTTATGCTGAGAAACAAAACTTCAAATACTGCTTAATAGAGGTTGCTTTTTTTTTCAACATATTAATTCTACTTATTAAGAAAAGAAAAATAATTAAATTTAAAAGTCAATAAAAACAAAAAAAAACAGCAATAAAAATGTTTTTTTAATAATACTTAAAAGCAGTAACAAACCGAGCTTTTATCGCAACTGCGCTTTTATGATTAAAAAAAAGCACTGTACAGAAGTATTTTTATTTTGTTGACAGCCTAATTTAAAAAAATAATCTATTCATTAACACCACAAAAGTTGTCTGCAAAAGTTCACTGATATTATTAATAGCAACTACGCTTGTCATATATCTTCTACAGTATGTTATTTTAAATAAAATTGTATTTAATAATAATTTTATTTTTGATTTTATGATTTTTATTTCGGGAGTGTGTTTATCTACGCGAATAATATGTTAATGCGCAGTGCCACAGCGCATTAAAATTTCAAATATAAATATATATATGGAAAAGTGATGGTAATTGTAAAACAAATCGCATTATATGTTTTTGTTATCTTCACATGCAAAATACTTTTTTTAAATTTTACCACCGTTATCCAAGCTGATTTTTTCAACATTCGACGACTTAATCTATATTCTTGTTACTATTTAAAAATCAGCTGCCTGAAAAAGCAATAAATATACTTAAATGGAATTTACACAAGCGGTGTATTTATAAAACAATTATTTTTTGCGGTCATTTTTTCAAAACTTTTTTTAAAGATTTTATTTTAATTAAATATATATTTTTTAATATCACTTTAAAGAACTATATATATTTTTATATTTATAAATATACTTTTTTTATTTACAAATATACTTGTTAAATATATATTTTTAACAAGTATATTTGTATTGATTATTTATTTCACTTTAAAAAAAAAAAATGTTTTGCTTTTTTTGTTTTTGCAGTAACTTCAATGAAATATTTTTGACCGGTCAAATACTCGACTGTTTAACGTTTATTTAGATGTCTAAGGTCATAGCTGTTTTTGGTGCAACAGGGAAACAAGGAGGTTCGGTGATACGTTCGTTGGTCAAAACGAATTTATACAATCTGAAAGCAATAACTAGAAATAGCAAGTCAGAAAAAGCAAAAGAACTTTCCAATCTAAAAAATGTGGTCGTTGTTGAAGCCGATTTAGACAATAATGATAGTTTAGATTCTGTACTTGAAGGTTGCTACGGTGTCTTTCTTGTGACTGACTTCACTGCTCACTTTGTAAAAAACAAAGAAATTGATCAGGGCGTAAATTTAATTAATAAAGCTATACAAAACAACGTCAAACATGTAGTCTTTAGCGGATTGGAGAACGTCGAGTCACAGATTAATGAGCCTTGTTTGCATTTTGATTATAAAGCAGCTGTTGAGGACTATGGTATAAAGCAAGAAGACAAAATATACTTTACTTCTCTTCGATTGCCAATGTACTACCAAGAGGTAGTTAGTTCAGTTTTAAATAAAGCGTTTGGAAATCAATTTTTATTAAACATACCAATGGATGCAGACAAAAAGGTCTACATAATGAATGTTGAGGATATAGGAAATTGTGTAGCAAGCGTATTAGCTGACCCTCAGCAGTACAAATCTCAAAAAATAGGTCTTTGTGGAGATTACCTTAAAATCTCTGATTTATTGATGCTTTTAAATCAAGAGTTGTCACCACTCAAAGTTCGCTTTCCAGGTGGTTGGTTTAATAGATTTCTTTTTAGAAATGTTCTAAGTTTCCCTGGTGTTAAAGATATTCGAATAATGTTTGATTACTTTAATCTTCAACTTATGAAGCGTGACGCAGATTTGACAAAAAAGCTTAATCCAGAAGTTGTCGATTTTGCAACTTGGCTCAAGAAAAATCGTAACGAAATTGTATCAAGTAAAACTGCATAACCGTTAATTTTATTATAATATGATTTTATTAAATACACGCTTTAACGTAAAACAAAAATGTTGCTTGCAAAAGTATTTTTCTTTGGTGTTTTGTTTATTTTGTTTATATAAAATTAAGCGCTGAAAAATCTTTTGCTTTGGTAGAACTCATCCTAAAAAAAAGATTCTAATTGGTTCGCTAATTAAACGAATAGCATTTTTTGGCTTAGTACAATAAATAAATTCTCATAAAGTTTTGATCTAGTGTCTGACCTATAGCGTAATAACCTAAATGTATATAGGTGTGTTAGTCTGATAGAGTTGTAAAGATCTAAGTAAATTAGTATAAATATAGCATAGATTTCAAAACTTTTATCAAATTCATTTATAAAAGAAGGTATTTTAAAAATAAGTGAGGTGCGTAATGTTTCAATAGTTTAAAAAATAGTAATTGTTCTGGAGTTGATAAAATTAGCGTGGATGTAGTTAAATCAATCTTCGATACTATTGAGCCATCAATGTTCCACAATTTTTATCTTTCATTGAAATCCGGTATTGTAACAGAAAAATAAAAAATTGCTTTAGACACCTACTTTTAAAAGCGTTTATTACAAGTATGTCTAGTTATAGACCTATATCCGCCTACTATGTTCCTCAAAACTTTTAGAACTGTATGACAGACTTATTTGTTATTTACCTGAGAACAATATACTGTATAACACTCATTTCCGAAATAAGTTTTATTTTAAGTAGGGTTGTTAACCGGAGGATTTCGTGCAATTCCGGAAAAACAACATTCTTTCGTAAGGAGAGAACGAGAAATTACATTTTTTCGAACCGAATATTACAAAACATTTTGCAAATGTTACTTCCGAAATTTAGCATTTCGCAAGTTGACATACGAAATAAAACTATTTTGCAACATACGAAAGTAGCTGTTTCGGAAGTCGCACTTGCGAAACAAGCATTTTTGCCAAACGACGTTTTGAAGTCTATAAAGAAAGTTTGTTTGCCTGACTTTGTCTTAACGGAAACAAACATACGAAACGCGCCATAATAAATATATTTAATGATGTTTTTTGAATTCATTACGTATAGTAAAAGTAAGAATGATGGGAAGGAATATACATGTTTTTTTTTTTTTGCATATGAAATTTTTGAAACAGGTTCGAATATGCTTAACCAAAAAGTAAAAAGAGGCTCAAAAATATGCTTAAGCTTAAGCATATTTCTAATAAAATATACTTATTTCAATAATTTCTAAAAGTGTGCGCGTTACTAAAGGTTAATAGGTATAAGAAAAATAAAAGGTATAAGAAAAATAAAATTTTCAATAGTTTATTATTTGATGAGGTATCAACTGTTCTATAATATAATATGCTGAGATATGAATGTATAATTGAATCAGAAAAAATCAATGGTGCTTACACATATTTTTAATGTTACTTTACGGAAGAGGGGTATAAAATTTGACATCATATAAAAGGGGGGTTTTGCAAATATTGACAGCTTGACAATGTGTGTGTGTGTGTGTTAGATATATTTGTATACACTTGAAGAATCATTAAACAATAATTTTATTATTTATTATTTAAATTGTTAACAGTTGATATCTTAAATAAATCGTAACATAAAATCTTTTGCGTCTTTTTCGAAACTGCACATTCCGGAATGCTCCTTCCGTAAGAAACTATTTCGAAAGTATTCTTACAAAATGATTTTATTCTCAAGTTTTCTTTCGCAATGCTTTATTACGGAGTTTTATTTATTTATATTTTCGTATAGTGTGTTATGGGATGTGCATTTTCGCATGAGCAACTTCTGCAAAAACAATTCTATAACGGTAGATAAAGTTTTGTTTATATATATAAGTATATATATATATATATATATATATATATATATATATATATATATATATGTATGTATATATATATAAGCAATAAAACATCATGTACGGTATAATACTATTTAACGTTAAATCCGCCATAGTAAGTATTACTCAAACTGACAAAGATATTGACATCATTTGTGTTGATTTAATTTTTGGGTCTAGTAAACTCCGCTTATTACTTGTTACCGTCCACCGTCCTATTCTCTTGATGATTATATCTATCTTGAATCAATGATCTCGATAATTAGCAATCTCTGTGAATCTGTTCCTCAATTTGTCATTGTCGGAGATTTCAACTTACCGAAAATTGATTGGGTTAACTATGTTTCGCCAATTGAGAAATTTCATAATCTTTTTTTAACTTTGGTAAATAATCTTGGTATGTACCAATATGTACTGGAGCCCACTCGAGAAAATAATATTCTTGATCTTGTTCTCTCAAATATCATTTCCCTATTAAGTAATATTTCCGTTGAGTGTCCATTTAGTACAAGCGACCATAACTCAGTCTTTTTTTATATAAACACCTTTAATTATTATCAGCCCGAAACAAACTCTGAATCTTTTTACGACTTCAAAAATACAGATATAATTGCTTTTAATTCTTATTTATCAAAAATAAGTTGGGACTTCGATTTTTCTTTTGTTTTTACAACTGAAGAGTATTGGAACATCTTTTCTAATCATCTTCGTAAAGGTATTTATCGTTTTGTTCCAATCAGAACAATATACCATAACAAAAAAAGTCGTTCTTATCCAAAATATATTTAGAAAATGCTAATTTGCAAATCTTTTCTATGGAAAAGATGGTCAATCACAAAGACCACCTTGCACAAAAAGGCATTTATCCAATATGCATCAAAATGTAAAAAAGCCATATCCACACACCACAAAAATGTGGAACTAAAACTGGTCAAAGAAAATAACTTAAGTAAGTTTTTAAGTTATGTAAATAAAAATCTAAACAATCCCAAAAAAATATATCCTCTAAAAACAAATAGCAACTTTACTACTACCAATGTTGAGATCGCTGAAGTGTTTAACAAACACTTTGGAAGTGTTTTTACCATAGATGACGGAATTTTGCCTAAAATAAATACCTTTGTTAGTGAACATATTAAGATGAATTTCGTAGATTTTTCAGCAAAGATAGTTTATCAAAAACTTAAAAATCTAAAACCTAGCACATCATTTGGACCAGACGGTATACCAAATATACTTTTACAACAGTTAGCACATATAATATGTATTCCGCTTTCATATATATTTGAATCAAGTTTTACGTCAAGCTCGTTACCAAAACAATGGCTTCAAGCTACGGTTTCCCCTATTTTTAAAAAAGGATCTCCTTCAGATGCTAACAATTATAGACCTATCTCTCTCACATGTACTAGCTGTCGTGTCATTGAAAGTATTGTTAGTTCAAGTATCGCTGATTATCTTAATATAAATAATCTAATAACACCTAATCAAGACGGCTTTTTATCCAAAAGATCTACGTGCACAAATCTTCTAGAGTCAACTAATGACTGGAATAAAGCTTTAGACAGCAATTTAATTACTGACGTGGTATACATTGACTTTCAAAAAGCATTTGACTCTGTACCTCATCCAAAACTTCTGAAGAAACTTGCAATGTACGGCATAATAGATAATCTGCTTCATTGGATATCAGCATTTCTTTCTAACAGATATCAAAGAGTTCTGGTTGGAAATTCACTATCTAATCCAACCTGCATCCTAAGTGGAGTTCCACAGGGTAGCGTCTTGGGTCCAACGTTATTCTTGTTATTTATTAATGATCTACCCTCTATAGTAAAAGATCTTAATTGCTCTCTAATGTTATATGCTGACGATATCAAATTATATAGTTCATTTAAGGATGCCGATTACAGTCACGATCTTGCTGTAGCCATTTATAAAGTTTATCTCTGGTCAAAAAAATGGCAATTAAAAATAGCCAATAATAAGTGCTTTACTCATAGAATAGCACCTACTTCATTTTGTAAAGATATAAATTACAACTATCAATTAGGCGATCATAATTTAACTTGGTCTACAAACCCAAAAGATCTTGGTGTGACCATGGATTCTTATTTGAATTACAGTAATCATATTTCAAATATCGTCCGTGCATCAAACATTCGAGGATATCTAATCCTTAAATGTTTTAAAAGTCGTGATCGACGTGTTATCGTTAAAGCCTACACTACTTATATAAGACCGATCTTAGAATATTGCTCTCCGGTTTGGTCGCCAAATCGCACTAAAATGAACAATACAGTGGAAAGAGTACAAAGACGTTTTACCAAGAGAATTTCTAACCTAAATAATGTTTCATATTCAAGTAGACTTAGTATTCTTGGTTTGGAACTACTAGAAATTCGTCGCCTTAAGCAAGACACGATTACATGTTACAAAATTCTAAACAACTTAGTTTGCCTAAATAAATCAAGTTTCTTTTTATTTAACAACTATGTTTACACTCGAGGACATAATTTTAAATTACGCAAACTAAAATGTAAACTCGATGTCCGTAAACACTCTTTCTCACTCAGGGTTGTTAATATTTGGAATAACTTGCCGTCTGACGTCGTGAATGCCAAAAATATAAAGAGCTTCAAAATTAAAATTAACTCTATCGACTTTGAAAAATACTGTTCCGGCTAACTGGTTTTTGTTTTATAACTATGGTCTTATATATAATTGTAATATATATTTTAAATTAACTAGCATTTGTATTATGTGATTGTAGGGCACGTTGTCAGAGTCCTTCATATTTTATGGACCTGCGTGTCCTTTAGAACATGTATCACTGTTCTAATAAATTTTAATCTAATCTAATCTAATCTATTTATTTCTTTTCTCTATAAGTGATATTTCGGCTCATATAGTAAGAGCCATTATCAAACTAATAAAACCGTTAATAACGGTTTTATGCCATTATCAAACTAATAAAACCGTTACAAACGGTTTTATATAGTTTGATAAGCTGATTGACAAATGTCGTTATCATTTCGTAAAAAGTACTTAGTTTTTTCTTTTTTGTCATACAAATTATGAAAAGGTACCGGAGAAGTATTGTTTTTACATTTGAACATAAAGCAAATAACGTTAAAAAAAATTAAACTCATATATATTTAAAACTTTCATTTCAATAAATAGAGGTTTGGCATGAGTAAATCGATCCTTAAAATTA